GACTTCGGAAATGAACCTTGCATTCGAGTCAACTTGCGAGGCTTGTACCTTCATCGCAAAGGTTCTTACATTTGTTTTCCACTCATGGACTCCTCATTGATACTAACCAAACATAGGATCGACTGAGACTACTTTTCTCAATGATTGGATGTCCCGCAAGCAAGCTTCCACATGGACTTCAATCTCAATCCCGAACGATCTTGGACAAACTTTCTCTACAAGCGGCCGAACAGTCTGTCTTACCCAAGGAATAGACGGTCTTGTACTGGAGGTCCCTGTCTCCCAGTATGCTATCGGAGGTGATGACAAGACTTGGTACGAGTGGAAAGACTCGAAGAAGGGGAAACACAAGATGAACATGCCCCCATACTACATATGCGACATCGCATCAGCAGTGGACAAACTGGGCCTGCAGTTCGAGAGTGATTCAGCCGGCAATTACATGTTATCTTTGCTGAAAGATGAGAACGACTTATTACGAGAGGCGTTCCGTGAAGCACACCGTCTCAGCAAAACAGTGGGTACCTAGCATTGAGCTTGATATTGAGCAAGATCTAACATCCCACAGAGCACACTACTTACACATGCTCTGAGGCTATGGTGCGGTACTCGCTTCACAGAGCTGACATGGACTATCTGCGGTGATGATAGGCTTGATATTACACCATCTACAGAAGCCGAGAACCCCTGGAAGGATACTGTGCCCGTAACGCCCATTATGGATACTCAGCTGGATGAAATCGCCATCAAGGCTTTTCTGACACCTCACGCCGACAATTTCCTGATGTCACTTGAGCGTAAATTGAAGGCACAAAATACTACTGACTGGTACGAGATTCTTCTAGCACTGATCGTCATCTTACATAATTTTGAACGAATCTTCGCCGATGTAGATCACTACACCAATCGCCATGGCATCCAGGTATATCCACAAGATAATTAACATGGATTGACCACATGCTCACATATTTACAGAAAGTCAAGTCACGTAGTGGATCCGCCTTGTCAGAACGGAATGACCTCGCCTGTAGATCTTTGATCTCATCCTTTCGTTTTGATTATATTGGATTCCTGAAGTTCCGCTCAATCATGGCAAGCAACAAAGATGATGAATCATTGTCCGAGGATGAACGAAAGTTTGTGCGACTCTTGCGTCGCTTCTTCAACGATACAGGTCAGTAAACCATACATCATAGGCTTTGTGGTCAGTGATAGGCACCTGACTCTAGATAACAGACCAACGAAAAGACTGGCGACGAAGAAATGTGTACCAAGACTCCATGTTCTGGGTTACTCAAATCGTGGCATCTGAATGGAATGGCGACTTCAAGCATGTCGTACCACTGGACAACTTGACCGAGAAGGACTTTCTCACGTCATGAACATCCTATAAATCGAGAACGAGACTTCATTGACATCATAACTGAGAGAAACTTTGAGCGAACGAGCAATTCCTTCATCAAAATCCCACAAGTCCACGTTGGTGGTTTGGGACCTCCAATTCGTCTTACCCATTGGTAGGGGCTTCACCTTCCTGGCCTTGTTCGAAATCAGTCCACCACGTTTCGACTCTGCTGCCGTCGACCTGGTTGGGCCCATAGATTCTCTGGCGCTGCTCTAGAGCCACTCCAGTGACAGGCCAGCTGCGCTCCGGGTCTCGCAAAAACATCTTGAGCAGATGACGCTGGGCGAAACCATTATCACTAAACGAGCCCCTTGCATGCATGATGGCCTGGTCATTGACGAAGAGGATGTCGCCTTTCATCATTGGTAGCTCGATTGAGTTCGCAGCTGCCATGAATTGCACGGCGTCCATGGCTTTGACCTGGGCTTCAGTGAGACCGGGCAAGGAGGGGTTTCTCTTCAAGCCTTGGAATCCAGTCAAAGGATACCGAGAGAACCGGAATACGATCCTATCAGTCCCGGCTCTGTGCAGAAACGGCACGCGAAGAGGTGGATACTTTGCGTAGTCTTTGAAACTGCATCAAGCGTTAGTCACTTTCTGCTTTCGAAAGGTTGAATTGACCACTAACGTGTCCAGGATCCAGGGTGAGGCCAGAGTCTCTAGCACCCCAGGATGATTCAAGGCCAACTCATTGTAAAGATCGAAGGAACTCGACAGCGATAACTTGCCGCCGCTTTCAGCGCTTTCGAGGACATACAGCCCCATGATCTCGGAATTGTCAGAGTGGAATGCCTTGATTGATATCAGCTTTGGACACAAGATTGCACCACAATGAATACCTACGACTTTCTCCAAGGTGTATGCTGGGGTGACGGCTGAGGAGACATTGAGCAGATGGCCTGAGGAACATCAGTCTAAACTTCACCCACGGCGGTGTGGAATATACCAACTTATGACGCTCTCTCTTTTACGGTCGACGAAACCACGTTCGGGTGCGACATGGCTTGCAATCCCGGCATATATGATCACGTTATCAGCGGCGGAGTACTTTGCTGGGTCTAAGCCACGAATGATGTTGAAGCCCACGCCGCTGTAACACTCGGCCGATACAGCCTTCAAGCGACCAGCAAGCTCCTCGGGTAGTCGAAATGTTCTCGCCGAGATGGAAGAATTATCCAACGACATCTCTGCGAGTCAATCAGTGTCAGGGAATCACAATAGCGGCATTGTTGGTACCCTTGAAAGAGAAAAGAGCCGACTCAACATGAGCGACGTCTTCCGGGCTCAACTTGATGACATAGTCGCTCAGATGCGCTTTGATGTCATCAGCTTTCCATGCCAGAGGAGACTTGAGCTTCTCTGGGAATCCCAATGGAACGCGAGTAATGTCTGGGAAGCTCCTTGGAATGGTCTCCCAGAAGGAGTTGGCCTGTCCCTCTGACGGGAAGTATGAAATGATGGGAAGTGTTACAGCTGCCATTTTGAAAGAGGTAGAGAAGGTAGAGCGACGGATGTGTGGAATGAGCTTGTTGAGGAGACTCAATCCACTGACTCCTCGACTTCTCGGTCGAATTTATGCTCATCACTTCCTACCTCCTCTTTGATGGATAACGCTGTGGCCAGTCCAGCAGAGCCGCAATGTCACATCCTTTCATCGAGACACGCAATGCCGGTGGTCACATTCATTTGTTCATGTGCAAGTCCGCATGACGGATCTGCTCGTCGACGAGAGCGGCAGAGTCATCAGAGCTGCATGTGGGGTACTCAGTTCAGTCCGAGCGGTGTGGTCGTTCTAATGCTCCTAGCTGTGAGCGCGAATCCCGACGACTCGCTCATTTCTCCAGAACATCACTTGCCGCAAAGACAACATTCATCTCCCTCGGAAAGATCGAATACGCCACGATGGAAACAAATCTAGGTACTCGCCAATATGTCAGTCCCGTCAGATGTCAAAATTCCATCTGCTCTGAGAGCGCACGCAAAATTCCTCGGAAATCTCAATGCCCCTGGATCTACGAAGTACGTCAAACATGTTGCCAACTGGAAAACAATGCCAAATTTCTGGCCACTCTAAAGATCCCGCACACCAAAAAGATACCGCCTTACATGTTTCAGCCTCACGAACAAAGTGGTCATTTGAACCTCTGATCTGATTGATCCGCTTGCATTTCAAGAGGCGACTTGATCATACTTCCGCTGATCCTATTCGTGCTCGATGGTTGGAGTTACTGCTTCTCCATGCAGCATCAGGACGCACGCCGCGATTTCTAGATGGATAATGTGATGTCGGCAGCGATCTGATTCGTGGCATTTAAGCTTCTTGCTGCGTCACTTCACGGCTATCGCGCGATATGATTGAGCGATTTCAAAGAGTGCTTTGACCAGGGAGTGGTGGAGTTGTCAGATCAAAGACAGAGCGTTGTCTCCATCGACGATAAGACACATCCTATCGGACAGTCTCGTTTAGGAACCTCGGGCGCCTGCATTCTCAGGAGTTGCTGTTTGGGGTATCCCACGGCCACCTTCCAATCGTATTGGAGAGGGGCTGATTTTGAGCCTCATTTTTGGGGGTGACGGCCATATTTGCCGAGCGCCAAGACAAATATAGTAGCCAGTTGTTCATCAAATAGTCCATTATTCATGGATTGGAAGATCGTATCAGAGGATTCATGGAACGATATTACGCAAACATGCATTATGCTATTAGGCTCGCTTCACTTGATGAGGACTAGTGAAGCGACATCCCTTTTCCATGATTTTCCTTGGCTATTCCGCTGTGAAACCCTTGTTGACATTGGTTCGTGATTCGTCAATTAAGGAACTCGCGCGCGAAGCTGGGACAGTGAGGGCTTTGCATGTTCGGTCTTGTCCATTTCCATGTCTGCCATATTATCGTATTCGCAACATTCGTATCAGAGCCGCTTGGCCTTTTGACAGCATCGGCTGGGTTGCAGCCATATTGCATCATAGCTGCAAGACAGTTAATCAGTTCGTTCGCCACTCTTTACACATCGGCAGAGCCTCAAAATATTCACTGAGCTCTACTCAGCCGGCCTATGTATCCTTGACACGGCAGTTGATTCGGGAACAAAGTTCTGGCATAGTCTTTTGATTATCAATCACTACCGGATATGCGGCATCATTCCAGTCTTTCGGATGCGGCCCTGTTATCTGTAGTGAAACATTGGATCGCCGATCTGCGTGCCAGCAGGCAGGCTGGTGGATATTTTGATATTGGTTCCCTCCTGTCACTGCCATGTTCTTTGGCAAGCCGCCATCTTGACTCTCTCTTTTTGTGATGCCCCTTTGAATGGTCCTTGTCAACCAAGTACCAGCAATAACAAGAGAAGATGGTACGAGGTCCAAATACAATAGAGTGAATACTTGAACACATCGCCGATGTACAGAACTCCAACTACACTTGGTTTTGTTTGTGATCCACTTCGTCTCTTTGTCACTCTCGACAACAGGCTCACACGAGACATCAAATTCAATCCCGGGCAAAGGCAAAACGAAATCTTTTTTTTTTTCCTTTTCTTTTCCACCACCAACCCTTCCAGGCAAAAATACAAAAATACAAAAAAATAAAAAATATTGGTCGAAGGAGGATTTGAACCTCCAGTTCTGAGAATCCTACAATTACTCGTACAGCGTTGGCTCCGTGGAAGCCTCCAAGGAACCGCCCCCTTCCAAGAAACAGTATGTAATCTCAGCGTGTTACCATTACACCACTCAACCGTTACTGGTTCTGTTTGTTGAAAGCAGCTCCGTTATTTACGGCTATGAGGCCTCCGTATGAAACGGAGCTAAGAAACGGAGGTGCACCGCGTGATTGGGTGCACTGCTGCGGGCTTGGGATGACGATGCTCGGGGGTGGTGTTTTGCTAGTGGGTTTCGGGGCGGGCTGTGGTGTCGTGACTTGTCACACAACCTGTCTGCCATGGTTCAAAGGGTCTCTGGCTTTGATATAGACTGTTTACACCACTTGAGTAAAGTTTAGAGACTCAAAGAGCTATCACAAATGGATGTGAGTAACTGTTGTTGTGCATAGCTACTTTGTTGCTTTGATTTGTGTCCAGTGGAACATGTGAATGCTTATGGATAAGAAGAAAGTTGAAGTACTCTGTACAAATATATGCGTATGGACAGCAAAGAGTAAAGAGGCCTATGGATTCTAACTTTGCTATTCCTGGTGCTATCTTTACAGTTGTCTACCACAAGAATCTTTGCGAGCTACCAGTATCTTGACATAGTAGTAGTCGCCTGATCTCAGTGTATAAATCACGTATAGCAGTCGTCTGATTTCAGCATACAAATTCCGTTTTACATCAGATTACACTCTTCAGTATAACTCTTGGCCCGAAAATCAGTTCTAGCAAAAGCTCTATTTATGACATTCTTCACAGCCAGCTCCATAAAATTGAATAAAAAGTCCATTTGTAGTGGTATCATTGCACATCTCGTGCATGCTCTCAGTAGTACATAAGTACATGCCACTCCATTCTGGCAAAGCAGAGAGTGTGGCTGGTATTTTACAAGTGTGTCCGAAACTCCATGCAAATGCGTTTCCCCTTCGACTCTGCCCTCGTATATAACAACACAGAATGATACGGTCGCTCTTACAGCGACTCCACGGCATCGTCACCTAGTCCCTCGAGGTTGATGCCCGTCTCCTCCTGCAGAAGCTCGCTCAGAGATGAGCCGTCTCGAAGGTATACCCATCCGCCCGTGGCCGTGTCCTGCTTTGATTCCTGTCCCTCGCTAGTGACGACATAATCGTAGCGCTTCGGGCCAGAGAGCGGGGATGAGAGCCAGATCTGCTTGTTCGGGGGCTGCTTGTTGATCACATATGTTCCGTGCGGGTACTTGATGTTCATAACACCGGCCTGTGGGAAGCTCAAGGTTAGCCAACTGGTCCGCTACCAGGCAGTGCCGGGACAAGGACCAAGGCAAGCACGTCTTGGTCCGAGATTGGCGCCTTACGCTGTACTCTACATCGATTTCGTCCTTGGCGTCTTGCTCCTCCTCAAATGTCACCAAGAGGTCGTCGAGGTACTGATCTGCCAGCTTGTGGTATTGCTCGTCGGTGATGCTGGCCGGCTGCGCCGTCTTCAGGGCCTCGGCCGACAAGGGCCTGAAGACTACCGAACTACTCGAGAATGCGGCCGAGGCAATGCGCACGTTACCGGTCTTGCGCTGCACGAGCTGCTGGGCATACGTCGGGCGGACCGTAGTCGCGGCGCGCACTTGAAGTCCTCGACCGACGGAGCGGCCGAGCTTGGCGATGTTGGATCTGGTCATTGTCGTCGAAAGGAAGCGGTAGAATCTCGGCGCTGGTTTGTTTGCTTGAAGCAATTGAGATTGTGTGCGTACTGTTAGTCGAGGCGAGATTGGAGAGCTTGGAGCTCGCTGTGGTACTGAATTACTGCATGCCCGTGGAAGATCGCAAAGATGTTTATGTGTTGGTTGTTTAAAAGTTGAGCTGCAAGTTGCGCGTGTCACAGCTGTTGAAGCTTGTAGCCGAACTTTCCATGTTGGTGAACAACAACTGGAAGCTCGTCATTTTGCCCCACTAACCCCATTCGCTTAGGTAACTTCAATCGCTACACTCTAGAATTCCCGGCGGGTTCACTGCTGTTATTAAACCCGGCGTGCCACTTGCCTATAGCACCTCTCGTATTTTTAGACTGATAACATCCTGTTGCTGGTCGGTTCAAAAGCGTCTTTATTTATGTCCTTATATGTTGCTTATAACTTCTTCTACCGAGCCAAGTGAATTTCCCGATTGCAATTCTAGGCGTATTTTATGCGCCATCACCATGGCCTCGAGCTCTCTGCAATCTTGAGGCGTAAGGACGATACTTGTCTGGTCTTTGCGGCTGCTGACAGCACCAACCGCTGTATATGCCACGCCGAGACGATTCCGCGTTGGACTTTGCGCGACTGACTTTTTCGATGCCAGCATTGCTGCAGAGGCCGTCTTGTAGAACTCCTGAGTGCCCGTATACTGGGAGAGCACATCCTCGATCCCGTCGCGTAGAGCCGAGATGGTGTCCGGGATTTGGACGGCGGGGATCGAGTACTTGTCGTCACTGTACGCCTCATCGCTGAGGACCAGTGAGGCTTGGATGAATTCTTTCCGATCCACGAGGACCATTGCCTTGTATAACTGGATCCAAGAAGCCATTTCCTTCTGCTTCAGTGGCTCAATGCTGCTGCTGCTCTTCTCGGTCGCGCGCTCGTCGTTTTGCGGACAGGCCACGAAATGTTTCCTCCGCTGGGTCGAGTCCGTCCGGGTCAACCTCTGCAAGTTCAACATTGCGTAGACAAGCCAAGACTTGGCCGAGGCGCTGTCGCCCTTGTCTACCAGAATATCAAACTGCGCTTCCACCACCCTGGCGATGTTGTGGCGTTTGTAGGCACTTCCCAGTTGACCTTTGGCCATGCTCGTCAGCAGAATCGTTAGAGGATGCGACCTGCCTTCGTGGATATTACAGAGGCCCGCCGCGAATTTGGCAAAGGCGACGGCAATGTCCATGCCGACCTGGGAGAGCTCAAGGATCGAGCAGTATGTGAACCACAGCAGCAGCGGGTCCTGTGTCTGCATGACGCTCTTATATCCGGCGCAGCACTTTTCGATCAGCTGGAAGCCCTTGGCAACGTCTGACTTCTCGCGCAGCCGCAGAATGGCGCGGAGCATGTCGTAGTACCAGGTACAGCTCGGGGACGTCACTGGGTCCAGCCAGGCCGTCTCGCTGGTCGCGGTGCACTGCTGCCGCGTGTGTGTGATGGCGGCGTGTAGTTGCATCTCGGACGCGCGCAGAGATTCGGAGATGTGGTCGACGCTCAGCCGCAGCGCAGCAGTAGCAGAAGTAGAAGAAGTAGTTTCACTGCGCGCCCGACGCTGCCTGTCCAAAGCGGCGAGGCCTCTCAGGCGCTTCGGGCCTATCTCTCGACCGTTAACTGTGGGCAGCCGGACTTCCCTCCCTACCGCTGCGCAGTGCTGGAGCCGATCCAACTCTGCGGTCGTCAAGTTCTTCCTGATACCCCATTGCTTGAGCCGGTATTTGTACTGTTTAGTCCTGTTTATTTCACAGTATTAGTCTCATGCTTCTGAGAGAGCTTGACGAGCACAACACTAGTATAGTCGTCTTTCAATCTGACCTACGTTCCAGAAAAATTGTGCTTTCGGCGCATGATATCAGCGACCTCTCGAAGTGGCTTTCCAAGACCATGATAAAGGTGACATATGTTGTGTTTGTGGTATTCCCAATCTTCGATGCCTTGTGGACGCAGAGTCACGACCGGAGGTGAGTCGTCCATGTCGAACCAACCGGACATGTATCTTTACGGCTCGATACCCAGTAAAAGTACTCCACCAGACTTTGGCACCAAGTTCTCGGACCTCTTTTGGGGTTCAAAACTTTCTTGTTCGTAGTTGCAGACGATCGAGGTGTTCTTCCAATCAAATGCTCTCATAGATGTTCGGAATACTAAGGTCGAAGTCCGAGACTGGATCGACCACACACGCGAAGATGATATGATGAGCCCCAGGTAAGCTTAGTCGAGTTGTGGATATTCCGATCGGGGTGCTGCACTGCCGACGTGCCAAGCCTAACGGCCAAATATGATCTGATAAATCGATCAGGGGCCCGAATAAGGATAGCTCGTCCTTTCGCTTTGCCCCATCTCGTTCTCTTTTCGCATCTGATCGTCAGGTTTGTGTCAAAATTCGGCGCGAGATTTCGGGAAGCAATGAGTGATATGAAAGAGTAAGCTGCCCAGTGCCGAGGCCTCATCATTGCTACCGTAGCATTCCATTTGTAAGCTGGCCAATTAGCGACAGATTACCACACGACACAAGTATAGGACTCACATATTTCCTCACATTTCGGTCTTCTCGAATAACGTTGCTGGAATTTCTTGATTTAATAGCATTTTTTCAGCGCCAGGTTGCGGTGTGCCTACGATGAGCTAGAGCATGCGTTGGTTCGCCGAGCTTTTATCAAGTACCATTTTCTATCACTCGCTGCAATAGGGAAACTGCCTTTCTGATCGCTGATTTTGGTGGCTGTGTCTGGTATAGATTCATTGTCGTCGTTGTATGGATATCAGCGCCTGTGTCTAGCAACCGCGTGTCCCCAGCCAGATATTCGATCCATAGGACAGGCGACTCTTGGGCACAGGGGCTGATATCCACACGACGACGACAATGGCTTTACACTGAGCATAGCCCACTATGTTGATCTTTTAGAAGAGAGACTCCCTCATATAAGAAGGCGATGACAATGTGTGCCCGGTATTGGCAATTTACAGGTAAGTCTGCTTTTCTTCAGACTTCTCGGTTCCTTCAAGCAAGGTCTCGATATCTGTGGAAGCAAAGTGTCGAGCTGGAACACGATTCTTAAAAAGAATGTCCAGCTCTGGAAACGTTCTACCTTTTGTCTCTGCTATTGCCACTGGTATCAGTCATAGGATCTACCTCAATGTGCGAGAAATACTTACGCAAACGAAAGTGGATATAGATCGTAAAGATCGCGTTTGTACCGGCCCAGAAGAACGCTGCCTTTGGTCCCCAGTTCCACCCGTTGGGATTTAATTGTCGATATGAGATTACGTTGACAAATGCTATGTTGATAGCATTGTAAGCATTGCGGGCTAGAATGATCGACTTGGCGCGAAGTCGAGTTGATGGGATCTCGGAGACAATGGTATAGACGACTGGACCAATAGAAAAG